TTTCCCCATCCCTTCCCCACTTTTTTTTGTAAACATTCTCTTTTGATTCTTCCCTCTCTTTTCCATAAATATCTTTCTTATATATTTATATCTGGTCTTTGTTTAATGTTAAAATAATGAACATGGAACATATGCAGTAGATCTCTGTAATGCAAGCATATTTGCCCATGTTATGTCTCTTTATAAATGTACAGAAAGTATAGTAAAATACCTGATCTGCCAGAAATCCAGTGAGCTGCTAACTTTCTGCAGTGAGCTGACCTGTTGGAGTTTTCCCCTCAATACTACAGTACACAACCTCCTCATTTCAATAACATAAGGGAGGTTTTCTGTAGTCCAGCAGGGGATAACACAGATAGTGCTGACAACACTGCTTGAGATTTAAGTGCAGCATGGCACCATTGCCGGCTTACAATAGGAAGTTCAGAGTCACATTGGATCTACGAGATCTACATTCATCAAGTATTTGATGAGAGTGCCAAACAAGACAGTTGGAGAGTCCAAACACCTTTAATAATAGAACTGGGTCACAAACAACAACACAGAACAGCCAAAGCTTTTGGGGCCTCAAGGTCCTCCCCCTTCTTCAGGGCTTAAACATAATGGATTGTAATATGGACTCAAAGCTGGAAAAAAATCACAATGTGAATGAGATTTTTTAGATCTACATCAGCTGGTATTGTTCTACCTGCATCGTTTTAAAAGAGATTGTATTGCAGATATGTACTAAATATGTATTTTTTCTATTTTGCCCAGGCATAAACTTTAAACACTTTATTTGTCCCAGATTTTCCTGTGTGACCTGTACCCCACGGAAAATGGCCTTGACCTTGTTCTGAGTCTGGATTTGTGGCAAGCCCTGTCATTTCACTATCCCATGGGATATTCTGCCCCTGGCTCCTGAAGTGGTGCACTGAATAGTGATAGGGCAAGACATAGCAGGTAGATGCATAAACATGGTTCTGACTCTGCAGACAAAGATAGATACCCCACTGGGGTCAACACCTCTTCATGCTTCTTGTGACCAGGTTTGGGGTATCACAAGCCACACAACATTACAGATGATTTTGAGACAATAGAGGGTGCTTGTATGCATCTTTTAGTGCCTGCTTCTAAGTGTTGGCTTAAGTTTAGATGTTAACATACGTTCTCTTTAAGGATACGGTAATCCTATATACAGATCCAGCAGTTATTTTTAAGTGGGATGAAAAGGAAGGAAATGCCCTACATTTACCTAGACAAGCAGACAGACAATTTTGTCACCCCTCTTACCTTATCGCCTGTCTGAGGTCTCATTAGTGACACTTGGTCATAGCCTCTTCTTAGTAGGGCCCAGATTGCATCCAATTTACCCTGCAAAGAAACACAACATTTTATTGTACGTGCAATAGCAAAATGTGGCCATAAAAGATCATTTTTGCAGCTATAAACTACGATCTAATAATTGGTCATATTTCAAAAGATAGCCAGATACCTGAATAATTACAACTACATGATACTTTCTTCAATCATGCACACTGAAAGGATTGTTTATTAGTACTATAACTAAAGGCATGTAACATCCAACTTGACTGGACTTAAAAGAGGATAATTAAATGATAGTACAAAGGGAATAATTGATCAGGTGTGCTGTACAACCTGTTTTAAATTGAGGCAAATAGAAATAGAGTAAAGTAGAGTAAATAACACTCTACATGTAAAGAACAATTGTTGCCAGATTAGGTGTAAATTGGTCTCATCTAGCAGATGTGTGGTAGAACTTTTCAGCAGAAAGTTGAGATGTGCATATTGAGTACCCTAGATTTAGGGGCTCCTAGGACCCTATATAAAACCAGAATGATGCAACATGGTCTTTCAGCCCCATTGGAGGTGGGGGAGAGCCACTTTATGTAGGCATTGTGGGTCTAAAGAGACCCTAACAAACAGCCTGTGCACTGCAAAAAGAATACGTGAGAGAGATTAGCTTTCCTCTCTACTGCCTTCTGTAAACAGGTTTCCTTTTTTCCTTTCCTTTTGCACTGACTTCTCATATCTCTTCCTGCATACTTCATAGTGTAACACAAATTAGAAATCTGGCAGGGAATTTACACCTCTGTCATAGTTGTGACATTTGGAGAAATGTTGGGAACTCATGTACTGTCACTGTTCCAAGAGATATAAGCAGCAGGTTAGCAGTTCAAACTCCTAGAATTAATTTCAAAGTTTGGTATCAGAATAAGGTGGACTATTCTATAAAAAGCAGAGGATATACAAAAAAAATTATCTTTACCTTGATCGGACTGTACCACTTTCTTTCTTGTGGGCCACGGCGTGCCGAGGATTTTTTTGGTTTTGGTTCCCAGGGTTCATATTCTTGTTCTGGAAGTTTAATAACGGCATTTTTGGGTTTCTCTAGCTTGGCGCCCTCTTCAGTGGAGCCTTTGCCACCCCATCTCACCTACAGAAATAATTCCCCAAAGGAGTTGTAAGTTGTACATCTTTATCCATTTTTAACATTGAAACATAAGACAATAAAATGCTGCTACTTTGACTTGCCCACAGCACTCCTGAAGCACTACCAAGAAGGCACTTTCATTTCTCTTTGTGCATAATGGCAGCCAGATGTGTGCTAAATCTCTGTGGGTAGTGATATAGGAGGTAACAGAAGGGTGTTGACAATGGATAGTGTACCATCACCACTGTAGTGTCTCTGCTTTATGGATACAACCAAAGTTCACATTTAACACAAATAGCCAAACTGTGAATCTTGTGGCCATTAGACAAAGTTATAAGATCTGCGGTTAATTTGAATATTTTATGTTCATTACAAGCTTCGAATATGCAGCTTCATCAGCTGCTAAAACATTTAAAGTGGCATTTTTGCCTAGAGGAAAACCAGCTTCTTATAACAGCTGTCACATAAACAATACCTCTTCTGTTCTGCTGTCCCACACAGTTCAATATTTTCCAATATTAGGGTCTGATCAGAACTTTACCCATATCTTTAAAATAACAACAAAAGTACCTTTAGAAATGTTAATAATGCCAATCTACAAACAGATTCTTATAGATAATTGCAGGGTTTCTATTCTTTGCATACTCTATTTCTCTTTTCTTCCCTAGTCTTCTGACGGTGGACATTTTTACTAAGGGTAGACTTATCCATCTCGCTTTACTTCCTGGAACTCTGGTACATGTGACCATGCACATCATCTCAGAGGAGGAAAATACCTTTCCCTGAGATCCCATGAGATTACAGATGAGATTTCCCAGCAATGGTTTACTGATGTAATCTTCCCAGGATGCAACGCTTGGGCACCATTACATAATTTGTGCCAAAGTGGACCAGGAAGTGGATGAACTCTATTTGTAAGTAAATTAAAAACATGTTTGTTTAACTAATGCATGTAATATATGCAGAGCTGCATGCTGATGTGATTTTCTAGTGAAAGGGGGTAAAGGTCTACTGTAAGCTTAGCAGATATTCAGCTAGAAATTTTAATTTAATCAGCAAATGTGCTGGCACAAAAACAGTACCGAGTGCCAATGTAAGTGGTCCCTTTACAAATTGAGCATCCTTCAAGATATTTCAGCAGCAAACCAAAAGCTTTACATGCTGGAAGGACCTAAACATATTTTAATTTTAAATTCAGCTCAGTTAAACAAACCTACATTGCATAGATTGCCAAGTGGCTACAAATGTTACTAATAGGGATATCTGAATATGTGTGTTAGTAGTTATGTAACAAACTGACCTATTGGCAGTGAGCCAGAGTATAATAAGTTCCTCTACCTGTACAGAATTTATTCAAGCTTACCTAGCATTAAAATGCAAGATCCTGCTATTCAGTAGTCGCACTTTCATGTAAAGACTTTAGGCATATTTATAAAGCAGCTCCGCTGACATTCAGCAAACATTCTTGAGTAAATTTTTTAGTTGAATGTGTTGTAAATAACAGTGATTGATTCCACTGAAGAATATTTGGTGAAAGTTACAATCACTGCTTCTAAAATACAGTAGACCCATTAGTCAATCTTAAAAATAAAAAAAAATCTGGTATTCTGGAAAAGCTGAGGATACCTTATCTTACAAAAATATGCTCCCTCACAGTGCATTTTAATGGGAGGGTAAGGGGCTACTAAAAAAGTGGGATCTTCATGCAAGGTTTACCTTAACGTGGCAGATCATACAATATTCATCTTTCTAACCATGACTGCTAGTTAGAACAATACAAGGAGCACATTAGCCATTTTTAAAATAGCAGTCCATGTAAATTCTTATTTATATTCCGCCCACATTACCTCCATCCTTTTAATGCCCCCTACTCCTCTTCCTCCATAATAAGAGGCATCCACAGTTGGCCACTTCTTCTTAGGCAATCCATCTTCATCATCAGATTCCTGTAGTAAAGTAGTAATAAATTAACACATGGCATGGCACAATTTCATTTGCAAAGCTATAATCTATAAAGGCACATTGATATTTAAATTTTGAGTACATTTCAGAAGGTTAAATTAGCCACTGGATTTTGAGAATGTATTGCTTGGGAACACCAGCAGGATCTCTTCAGCACAGTTGCCAGCTTTGCCCATCCACCGTGGTGATCCATGGTCACGGACTGATTTGATATTGATTTTAACTGCTTATTTTCTTCACATGTATATGTAAGCATGATCAGCTTACTGCAAATATTATGTATGAGTACTAATCTTTTTTTAAAAAAAATCTGAAAAACTTTTTGCAGTTTATAATTTATAAAGATAATTGCAGATGCAGACAGCATTGCTCATGAAATATGCAGTCATTATGCTTAGTAGGCATGCATAATGACTATGCTTCACTGGCCATTTTTCTCGCAGGAAATCTATGTGGTTGATTTACTAAAGGGAAATAGGCTGTTCACTTTTTCAAGGGAATTTGCACTTTGCCGGGGATGTTTCCCTTTATTTTAGCAAATGAGGTGAAGCTCTGCTGACTTCCATCGCCTAATCATTTGCATGCAAAAATACTTATTATCGTGCACATGATTAGGTATTACATGCAAATAGAGATTGCATCATATTCATGAAGCTAATGGAACATTCCAGGGGACGACTCAAATATATCAAGCCAGTTACTACTGTTAGATAGAGACTCCTTTACTGAGCTCCATAATGAACACTGTAAGGCTGAGTTCACATGGGCAGTAGCCTTAAACCACCCCAATTGCTTTTCATAGGTCGGTGGGGCATCAGCTGCCTGGTGTTCAGGAGGCGAAACTGCTGCCTCCTGAATGCAGTTTTTTATCCTAATGATTTTCCATTGCAATATTGCACCACAACTTTCTACACATGTGGTTGTGGCACGATTCCATTAATTGCAACAGTCACATATGACCGCTTTTGCCTGTTGGAGTGGGTGCTGGTGGGGGTAGTAAAACCGCAGGTCAACTGCCTAGTTTTACAGTTCCCTTTCTGTCTGCGTGAATGAGGCCTAAAGGGTAAAAAAAAAATCCAGTGGTAATAAAGTCCTCAAAAGATTTTAGAAGCCAGTGGAAGATTAAAACCACCATTCTCCACCCAAAGTTCATGTATCAGTTCTGGGTAGATAAAGACTTTAGTAAACACAGTCATCTTATTTTTTCAAATGTATTCCCAGTGTAACAATTTTATTGCACAGGGAAGGCAAGGGGTGAAATAAACTGGTAACTAAATGTTATATCCAGACTGGAAAAAGTGTGACAATATCAATTAATGCATAAATAGACAGTGGGACAAAGTTTCAATAATTGCCGTGCAAGTTTCAGTTCAACATTCTGATCTTTGCTCCTATAATACAAGGCTTCTTCAGAGCAGAAAATATGGCTCATTAATCACTCTCCTTCGCTTCCCACAGTCCTTTCTGTTTGCTTCAGCTGGCGTCTATGCTTAGGCTCCATGCCTGCAGCTGGGAAATTCTGATAAAGATCCCCTTCATAATGGAAAGGCAGTATGACCTCCATTTATAGGACATCCAGAATATTCTAGGCATCTTATGAAAAGAGTTACATAGGGGGAGTTTATCCCTTCTGCCAGAAGAAGAGTACAAGATGACAGGAAAAGGTCAAATGAAAGTGCCTCTCTTGGCAGCCATTTTGTCATGAAACTGAAATTGATCTTTCTACAACTTTATTTTGTATTATAGTTACAGGATGTCGCCTAGATTTCTGGTAATATAATATAGAGTGTCACTGGGGGCTGCTTGCAATAGAGTAAAATATGTGGAATATGAATGGTTTTGGGTAAAAAAACCTTGTCTGATTCCAAACTGTGCTCAACTTAAAGGACCACTATTATGAAGAAAAAAATAGTTTTATAACTGTTAGACATGTGCAAAACAAAAAAAATAGTTTCCAGACGAAACAAATGAAAACGAAAAACGTTTTTATTCGTTTCGTCAAAGGAAATCCATTTTTATGTTTCAGATTCGGAGGCAACTAGCCTCCGAATCGGAAACAGCACACTGAAACTGCATGCTTGTGCGCCGCCATCCTAGTGTATAACAAGATCTACTCCAAAATGGTGGCACACATGCGCAGAACACGCCTGTGGCTGATCTGGCCACTGCTCGATCAGTGTGTGGCATCACCGTCATGTGACATCATACCATCCACCTCTAAGATAGCGGCGGGCATGCACAGAACACGCCGGCGGCCAATATGGCCACCAGTGTGTTCTTGAAAACGAATTTATGTATGCCCGAATATCGTTTTAGTATATTTGGGCATATCATTAAATCCGTAATTTCGGATTCGGACAAACTGCAGAATCGACTGATTTTCGTTGATTTGCAGGTTAGTCCAAATCTGAATGCACATGTCTAATAACTGTGTGCAATTAACAGATGTAAAGCTGGCCATACACGTTATTAAATTTTTGGCCGGTTCCTGATGAACTGGACGAAATTCAAGCTGTGGGTGCCCCTGTCGGCACCCCTCAACTCAAGAAATTAGTGTGTTATATAAGTGAATGGCCAGCTTAAAAAAAAGCTATATTTGAAGGACAACTTCAGAATTTGTATAAAACACCCCAGTTCCCCTCCCTAGCCCCCCTAAATAGACAAGCTTAGCCACCCTCCCTATCCCAGGTGCTTGTTTACTCCCTATGCAGCGGCCTCCCATGTTGACAGCCTGGCCCTCGCACTAATGTGCCATAGATTTGAATGGATGATACAACTTAGGGTAGTTAGGTATGTTTGTATGTATCCTATCATTCTCATTTTCTCCAAACTCATAATGAATTCAGGGTATTGGTAGGGCATATGTAGCATAAGGCACTACTACTCACCATCTCCCTCCTAGAAACATCCATAGATTAATGAATATTTGTGTTTAGGAGTGTAAACACACAACTGGTCTCTTAAATCTGGACCTGAAACAGGTATTCAGATAAAAATTCTCGCATGCTGCATGCATTCTTTGTGTGAGAAAGTACTAAAGGCAAAGCATTTTCTTTTCATACAAGTTTCACTTGACTGTAGTATCAACATTCATAGTAACTAAACTTTATCATGCCTGGGAACCAATGGGTTAATCATTAGATGGCTTAAGATGGGAAGTAAGCATACGCAAAGCTATACAGTTCTGGTGCAGGAACCAGCTCAGATAACATTTAGAATCATGAATGGAGATTGTGTTGGATGAGAGAGGACCAGCAGGGAAGACTGTAAGAAAGATTATTTTCTCAAATTCCAGCGGCACATTTTAGAGTTGTCGAAGTTACAGTATTTTTCCAACAAAGCTGCTGGAAATTATAGACTCAAACATGCCGTATATAGCAACTTCTGCATATACAATAAGCGTTTATTGTAGCCTATGGTTACATAAATTCAGGCATTACCACATCCGCATTCAGTTTGAATGCATTTAATTTTTAGATATGAATTACTTTTTTTGTGTTTTTGGGGGTGTTTTCTTTTAATGGTGCCACACATCTTTTTTGTGTATTTTTTTTTTTTCCAATGCAATATAAAATTTACAATTCATTTCAACAGATTTACATAAGGTGTCACAGCTTTTTTGTGTCCAACCCCACAAATTTCTTTTTTTTTACATCCGGGGTCCCTCCTAACATTCCTACCAAACCTAAAGAATTAAGCTGCTTTTTTTTTTTTACATAACATTTTTCATTCTGCTCCCTACCTCTGAAGTAGCGAACAGAATGACCAAGCCGAATGCTCAGCTCAATTCACTCTCTGCTGTTCTGCCCCTTTGAAAATAGGGGTGAACAGCAGAGAAGGAACTGCCCAATGTTTGTGGGTTCTTCCCTTCGGTTGGGCCGAACATGCTGAGGCTGTGCTGAGCTAAAGAGAAGTGAAGCTAGCGGAATGCAGCCGATGTATGGCTTAAAATAGCCGTACAGTGCTGCAGTGAATAGCCAAAGGGACTTCGGCTCCAATGTAATAATTGTGTAATAATGTTCTCCTGTGAACCAAAGGTGAAGGCAAAGCCTTGATGACCCGTGTTTACAAGGACATGTGCTAAGTGATGCTGGGTAGCATTCAACCCCCAAAAAAGGTCCGGCACTGGTTTGGTAAGTGGATAAGTCACTTTGGGGACAGCACTGGAAATAGCAGCCATTGTTGATTTTTAGTATCTGCTGGGGAATCAATATTTGTCTTTTTTGCTCAAGCTGGTATTGGACTTTAGAGGTCCCAGTATATTAAAAAAAAAGCATGCCTTCCTAGCCATTAGAACCAGCGTCCCCAGTACTCAATGGAAAAAACCTGCATGTGAGCATGGAAAGATGTATGCAAGTGCTCCCTGTGACAAGGATTAACAAACTTACAAACATTACTAGTGCTATATTCCTAAAATCATCCTACAAGGAGATACAGTAACTCTTATTTGCACATTATCACCATTCATCTTTAGAAATAGTGACAGCATTCTTCATTGCTTGCAAATCTACAGATCACTGCAGTTGGGTAGAATAGAAACATTTTTGTTTAGACTCTTTTAATTAACTAAAAGAAAAGAAAAAGTACTCCATACTTACTGGTTCTGGAGGAGGAGGGGGTGGGGGCTCTTTAATAACCTACCAAAAAATAAAAAATAAAAAAGTAAAAGATTTGACAGTAAAGCAGCATAAAATATTGTATCTTTAGTTCTAGTTTAAAGTTTACTATTAGCAAAGAAATGACAATGTAACCATTTTCTACTAAACATTGACCTGTATATGAGATGGCAGTGAAACTGGAGGCTGTCAAGAGGTCTGCATCAGCAGATGTATAAGGCCCCTTATATAACTGATTCTATTTTTTCTGTGCAACCTGGATCTGTCATATTTGCCCCAAAGTATCAGCAATAATTGAAGCTGGCCATACGCTGCTAAATTTTGGCCATGTCCTTCTGACGCGGCCAAAATTCAAGCAGTGGGTGGCCCTGCTGACTTTTGTCTGAAAATTCTTGGCCAAACTGTGATCTCTGTTAGCTTGGCTCAGAAAAATTTAGTGTTTTTTCTCATTCAGCCCTGTGATATGTGTATGGCCTGTTTAAAGTGAACCTCTACTCCCTCTACTAAACAAACATATTTTTATTTTACTTACAATTTCTATTTTTCCACTTCCCGGTCCACTTTGGCACAAATAATGTAATCGTGCTCAAGCATTGCATCCTGGGAAAGTTATATCAGCAGAGTATTGCTAATCTCATGAGATCTCAGGGAAAGGCATTTTTCTCACCTGAGATGATGTGCATGGGCACATGTCCCAGTTACATGTGCCCAAGTTCCAGGAAGTAAAGTGAGATATATTAATCTGCCCTTAGTTAAAATGGTCACAATCAAAAGACTGGGGATGAAAAGAAAAATAAGGTATGCTAAAAATTAGCCTGTAATTATCTAGAAGTATCTATTTGTAGATTGTCATTACTAAACATTTCTAAAAGTGACTTTGTTGTTATTTTAAAGATATGGGTAAAGTTTCTCTTTAACCCCTTCACGACCCATTACGGGATAATCCCGTCATGAAGCTTGAAGGGGTTAAAAAGACTCTTGGCGGCTTTTAGCAGCTGAGAGTCTGTTCAGTTTTGTAGAGCCGGTGGCCGGCTTTACAGTAGCAGTGATTCTGGCGGTTCAGCTGCCGCCAGGTCGCTTCTACGATCTGATAACCGGGCTAAAAAAAAACAGGCTAAAAAAAAAGCCTTGGTCCTTAAGGGGTTAAGAAGACGCGTCAGGTAGTCCAGTCTGAAGAAGTGTGTTCACCTTACTTCTTTGTTACATCTCAGAGCTGCTTTTGTCCTGCTGCCACTTATTGCCTAAATGCATGCATAGCAGCAATGACTGCTTGGCATTTTTCTGGGCAGGTTTGCAGATGGTGACAAATGTGTGCTGAAATTCCCAATTGTAGTCTCCATCTGAAGCCCCTGTGACAAGGTGGCAATGCAAGAGCACGACTGGGAGAAGGGAACAGAATGTTGTCACTTTATAACAGAAAATGCTTAAACAAAGGACCCTCATGGAACAATCACAAAGTATTCTTTTACTGAAAGCTGCAGATTACTTTTGAAATGATAGTAACACATTACATCTTATATGAGATTGTATTAGTTGGGTTTAGGTAAACCTTAAAGTGACATTAAACCCTCAGATTTTTTAACATAAAACAATACTGTAATGTGTGCCTTACTGTAATCCATGGTTGTTTCCCTTCTCTTTGCTGCTCTTCCTTTTAAATCTGTATCTCTTCTCATGCTGGGCAGAACTTCTGTTTTGCAGCAGACTGCCTTGTCTCTGAAATAGATACATGGTGTCTGTGTGCAGGTTCACAACCTGAGCCAGCACTACAGGAAGAGGCACTCAGCTGCAAAGGGAAGTTCTCCCCCAGCATGAGAAGAGCGAAGGATTTAAAAGGAAGAGCAGCAAAAGGAAGGGAAACAACCATGGATTACAGTAAGGCACACATTACAGTATTGGTTTATGTTAAAAAATCTGAGGGTTTAATGTCACTTTAACTATTTTCTTCTATCTGTATTCTTAGTAATGTAGTCAGCTGCAGCCTGCTGGATACTCTGGAAGACTCAAGCAGGGTTCAGTGACTTTAGCCATTAGCGGCTGTCACTTATATGTGAGGGTGGGAGGAAGATCTCACTGAAGATCTAGAAGACACCTGCAGAAACCCAGTGAGTAAACACACTCTACCCAAAACAGAATAATTCATTATGGTTGAATTTATAATATATCAAGCTAAAAAATGAAATGTTATTGTTCTGGCAATATGCAAGATATATTCTTCATAAACACTCACCACAGTGCAGCAAAGTGGCCAAAACCACCAGAGCAGAGCCAGAAGGAGTAGAATGAATAGGATCAGCAAGACAATAAATAGGATTATCCCTGTGTTCTGTGAAAGTTATTAAAAGAAAACAACATATTATAAGACAGAAGTTGAAAATGAACAGTTTTACCTTTTGTCACAGGGGTTTCCATTTCAGCTGTTTTGCAGAACACTTGAACTCTTGGCTAGCACAGTGATTAATAATTTTACTGAATACCAAAGCGTGAGTTGTGTGATCTACTTGGGAGTGATTTAGATGCTGATGTTCAGGTAAAGCTGTCTTGTTAGTGGCTCTGATTGGACTCTTATCCTCCCTTTTATCAGAGATCTTGTGACTGCCTTCAAAGGAGAATTATGGGGAGAGTGAAATACACTTATCCCCATAATTAGAGCCGACGTGTGACACTGAAGTTGTCACGCTTCGGCACTATTGATCAAGGACTGAGCGATCACATACCACTGATCGCTCAGTTCCCGATCATCTCCCTGCAGAGAGCGGTGACTGTTAATCACCGCTCCCTGCAGGGATTTCCCCTCCCCTTTCGTTTCTTCAGCGCTGACTGGAGGGACGGATGGGGGAGAGGGCGGCCACAGGTGGCTTTGAATCTAGAGAGGCAGAGCCAAATGTCAATCAGGTAGCGGGGTGGATCCCGACAATGTTGCTTTGTCAGCATATAGTGGGAAATAGCCTGCTATATGCTGCATTTTGGGTCTCAGAAGGACATTAGTATATGTCCTCCTGTGACTCTAAAAAGAACTATGGCAAAAAACAGTTTGGGACAGTAAAAGAGTTTTTAGTAAGACAAATATTTCTGGTTCAGAGAGCTCCCTTTCCCTCTTCTAGGTAACTGCATAACATAGCAAAGTGATCTCTTTAAAGGGAGGCTGAATATACATCGCAATTCAGCCTCTCTAGTTCTCATTTTAGCTTTGAATGACTAAAAGTACTCTCTCAACAAGCAAAACAGCCATTTTCCAGTTCACAGCCTGCACACTGGTCCCAGAGAGACAACTCTGAACAGGGTTAGGGCTCAGTCACACTAGATGCAGTGCGTTCCGGCCCGATTTTGGCTGGAACGCACTGCCTCGCATTGCGGCCGGCTCACTTTTTAGTGGGGTAGGAGGGGCGTGGCGGGCCATTCAAGTGAATGGCGACGTAGCCACGCCCTCCGGCCGCAATTGTGCCTGTGGTCCTGCCCTGCGCGGTCCGATCAAAATAGTGCTTGTAGCATTTTGATCGCACCGCACAGGTTCGGACCGCAGGCACAATGTGCCTTGCAATCCCGTGTGGCGCATCGCATTGCGGCCGGAGGGCGTGGCTATGGCGACATTCACTTGAATGGCCCACCACGCCCCCTCCTACCCCACTAAAAAGTGAGCAGGCCGCAATGCGAGGCAGTGCGATTCAGCCAAAATCGGGCCGGAACGCACTGCATCTAGTGTGACTGAGCCCTTAGCTGCACTGCTCAAGGTCATGTATGTGGCTGTTGAGTTAGGAGGGAATGTTTTCATTAGTGCCTTCTTTCTTTGGTATTTTGTTTTGAGACCAATTTTCTCACAATGCACAAAAGTGTGTTGGGGTATATAGCTACTAGAGGCGAATAACCAAATACCTGCCTCAACCTAAAACACTTGGTGTAGAAGCATCCATTAGAAGAAGGCAGGGTGGCACTCTCTGGTATTTTTTATAGGTTCACCTTAAAGGGAAGGTATAGTATTTTTTTATTTATCTAAATCGTATATATGCTCAAAAGTTTGTGGACACCTGACCATCACACTCATATGAGGTTGTTGGACATGCCATTCCAAAACCAAGGCCAATAATATGATCCACACTTTACAGCTACACTTTTCTAGTGAAGGCTTTCCACAAGATTTCGGAGTGTTTTTGTGCATATTTGTGTCCATTCATCCAAAAGAGCATTGGTGAGGTCAGGTGATCAAGAAGAGCTCCAAACATGTAGTAAGACTGAGTTCTCAGTCATGTCCTTATGCAGCTGGTTTTAGGCACAGGGTCATAATGAAAACAGAAAAAGGCCTTCCTCAAATTTTTGTCACAAGATTGGAAATGCACAATTGTCTAAAATGTCTGTGTATGCTGTAGAGCACTCTTCACTGGTAAAATATATTTTTTTATTATTTATGTTGAGGACTAAAAATGTTAATCTAAAACATGTTTCTCTTTTTAACCAGGTATTGCAATGTTTGTATATGAATATTTAAATATGCACCTATTACAACCCATCAGGTTCTTTTTTCTAACTCTTAATAACCTAATCTTGTGTATATCCAGCCAAAACTTTTTTTTTTTACAATGGTCTCATCAGACAGGAAGTGAGGAGAATTATGCAACAGCAACAAAGACAGAAATAAAATACTTTAGTAGAAAAGTGGTAAGCTAAAACCTTGGTCAGACATTGAATTATGTCCCTGTTTCAAATTTCCCTAACTTTCTGTCTTGTTAAAATGTTGTCAGCAGGACAGGACGTGAACGTTAATCTCTGTAACTGAGCCCCAGTTAGAAGTAAAAACCTTACAGGGGTTCTAATCTTTCCTCACTCTATCTAAAACTAAAGAACGTTTTTATGAGAACACATAAAGTTGGAATCACTCCTCTACCCTCTCTATGGCTCTATACATACTTTTTAATTAGAGAGAGATAGTCTGAAAACAAACAGCTTCTGTTGTGTTTTTTCTTACTGATGCTCTATGACACCAATGTCATGGATGTGCCCAATGCTACCAATTTAAAACAAAATAGTTTTATTATTGTTAAAATAATTGTTTAGATACTTGTAAAATGAAAATAAAAGTTAAAATAAAATTCACCCAATTCTATAATTTGTTTTAAAAACATTTCTATAAAAACATTTACCAAAGGTTTGGATCTTAACAAAATAATTAAAACTGTCACTTCTCCTTGTACATTCTCTGTAATATATGAAAATCCAAGTGGAAGAAAGTCCAGAAAGTAGGATATTGACTAAAATAATAGTCATTCTTTCGATTCTTTTTCAGATACTCACACAATGGGTGCTGGTGATGCTCACAGAGCTGGAGATGAAGGTGAGACCCATGTTCATGCTGACCTGCAGGTATACCACCCTGACAAGACAACAGATACCAGCATTAAAACTTCAGTAACAGTTTTGAAAACTTGGAGTGCAGAGGGGTTCTTTACAGCAGTAGAGTGGTTTAAAATGGGCCTTATATTAAAATGCAAGGCCGGCTTATGTTACAGCCATTCGCCCCCCAATATAAAAATGTTCAGTGAAAAAAATGTAAAAAATTATAAGAAAAATGTAAAAAATCCTCACTTTAGACCTGGCTTCCTGTAGGTGGCAGTGACATCACTAGGCCTCACCACAGGATTTTTAAAATGTTCAGCATCAGAAGACACTCAAGCACTGTGCAGGAGCACATTTTCATGGGATTTAGGATCCCCAGCCCTTTCATGATCCCAGTCTTAGTAATGTCACCCTCGCCTAGGCGAGCACAATAGAAACTGGAGTCGAAGGTAGGTTAAATAATTTTTATTTCTTTATTACATTCACTGAGCATTTTTAGAAGGGGCAGTGGGGTAATGCAACCTTGAATGTTTATGCAAGGTCTGCTTTAGGCTGTGGAATACTTTAATAAATGTAAAAGGAATGGAACATTTTCATGCAACTAATAACAGCATTATGCTTCCTAAGAGCTAAGAAAAAAATATTGTAATCCAAGGAATTTAGCCAACAGGCCTTAGGGTGGGATTTTTTCCTTCTGTGTGGAGGAAGTGACAACAGTTTTATACAAGGTTTTGTTTTGCCTTCTTTTGGACCCAATATATACAGGGGTTATTAAAGGCTGAACCTTTTTTATGATTATGTTCCATCATATCAAATCATATCATGTATGACCCTTTATATGCACTGCTCCAACACTGTGAAACTAATTTTTCACTTCTGAATGTCAGTTAGTCCTTGGACATATTATATAAAATTAGCAGTCTTTATTCAAGCCTAAAAAGGTGCCCATACACTGTGCGATTATCGTGGGAAATCCCGCGATCGTACGATAATCACAAAGTGTATGGCGGGCGTGCAACCGTTTTTTACTGTACGGTCGCATGTCTTTTGTCTTAGGAGCGTGTTCAAAAACCATGGCATGCTAGGGGGGGCAAATGCCGAACGGGCCAATGTGCGCACGCGCACACTGCCCGTTCAGCATTGCGGTCATCGGAAGCAAGTATATTGGTTAAATCTGACCTGACTGAAAGAAACAGGCTCTGCATTAGGCTAATCTATCTTGTATCACACACACATTTGGAGAAAATAAAAATTATACTTATCTTACACTCAACGCAGCACCTAGGCAAGGGTGATGTTACTGGCCTTCGACTGAGCTCATGGGAATGCTGAGGATACCAGCACTGTGTATGACCATTTTCTTGGAAAATGTGGGATTCTTGGTATTCCCTGGATCTTGCCAGAAGGCCTGTGATCAAGGCTGTAACCAGGACCAACCCTTTAATGCGACAACCTGAGGCTCTTGCCTCAGGTCGCATCTCTTTGGGTCACATGGGGGGGGGGGGGGGTAGGCCCACTCTCCTGCACACTGTTTGCAGAGTGCCTGCTGCCCCTTTCCGGCTAGAGCATCCCAGGTTGCTAAGAGCCAGTGAGGGAAATGTGTGAAGGCCAAACACATCTCCCAGTTCAGCTCTTAGCAAAATAGTGATGTCGCTGGTGGCCAAGAGCTAGGCGGGACAGGCAGAATTACTCAACAACCAAGATGCAAACCCCCAATAATTTTCTCTTATAGATCTGAATAAATACATACTGTCCAACTTCCTCGATAACTGGGGCAGGACAGAGTAGATATGTATCTTGTATGTCTGTAGGTTTTTCATCTGAAAGAAAGAAGAAAACAACTACTTTCACATTTACATGGTGACCAGAAGAGAAATGTTGCTATATAAGAATCACTTACATTTTGTGCTATATTTGTATTGCTTTAAAGTCTATCCTCTCCTATTTTGACCCATTTTGGGTGGATACTACCAAACTGAATTGTGCTGGCTTTTATATCTACCACTACAGTATCTGAGTTCACTCCTCCTCCTACCTGCTGCAGACATTACGATGGGTTTTACTCTCCTGGATGGATTTTCTATTATTATTCTATTACTATTCAATTTTCTATTATTCTATTTTCAAACTAGGCAGTATAGGCAAGGGTTATGATCTAGGCATTGATCTACTTTAAGAGTTATGTAAGTTGATTGAATTTGAAAAAAGAAGTAATTAGAACCAAATGCTGAAGAATTAGTTGAGAGATTTAACTGCTTGTTGCCAGTTATCTCACTGGCAACACATTGATTTTGGTGTGATGCAAATTAGGTGACTGCTAACAATTGGTCAACTCTCTTAGTAGCAAAAATAGTTAATCGCCTATGCAGACCTAAACTTAGGCTGGTCATACATTGGTAGATTTTTCTAAAGAAATTTCATACAAAAAATCTCGTCAGGACATTCGAAAATGCCATCAGAAACTTGATTAATGTCTTTGAAGTTTCGTTTAATTTTGGAATAAATGGAGTTTCCCGTATATAAAACCCACATTCATTATGAGACATGCATTATTAGATGCATCATTACTAGATATGCATGCATTTGAAAATAATTTTCCACCATGCTCCATCACTTTTTTTAATCACTACTTTTGTCGATTTGACCCCATTAGCTGTTACAAACATTCCTAAAACTAATGTTTTTAAACAAAATTCTACTGGTGTATAGCCAGCTTTACTCTCCCCAGCAAATTCTTTATACAGACGTACACCATTAGAATTTTGTACAGCAAAATTTGCTTCAGGAATGTTCATTTAGACTGGTTACTGAAGGATTTTCCTTCAGTAACCAGTCTGGATGAAATTTTGAAAGCTTTAGACTTAGACTCTGTAATATTTCCCCGAAGCCACTAAAAGTAAAGTAAAAAATTAAAAAATATTTAATAAAAAAATTAATAAATACATTAAAAATTAAAAAGTTTATTAAAAAATAAATTAAATATTTGAAAAAATTAAAATAAAAAACAAAAATTTTCAGTTTCGGTTTCGGGCCTGACAATTTTTTTTATTTCGGTTGTGTTTCGGTTTTTAAATTTCCATTTCGGTGCACCTCTACATGGGACTGCTCCGCAAATGCGTACCAACAATACAGTATTTCAGTAGAAAATCTCATTGGGGTTAAAAAAAAAAAAAAAACCTGCATTCAGGAGGTGGCAGTATGGCCCCCTGAACTTCAGGTAGCCGCTGCTTTACCGCCCTCTAAAAAGGTATCCACCACGGATCGCTGTACAGAGGGTGGTGGAGACTGCCGCCCATCTAAACAAGGCAGGCTTCATTTATCGAAACATGTAAACAATGAAAACAAATCGATCATAATCCAGCCTTTCAAGCCCTTTTACCAGATTTTGACTGCAAAAATGAATGATAGGGTATATACCTATATATAAGGCATGGTGGTAGATTGCCTGGATCTGTTTGGTCAGTTTTGTCCTTTGAAGCTGGTTAAAAGGGGTTCTATTGCTAGAAAGTGCATAAAGTTATAAAAGTTCTACAGCATTCTAAGAAGACTCCATTAATGGTTGTGGATGAATGGAGCTTTCATTCAGTCACTGTACAGCTGAGCACAGAAATGGACAATGGTGTGCACAAAGATGCAATCTTGGGCTTTTCCCAACCACCAATATCCATCCTTTGCTCACTTCTGCTGTGTCAGAATGACAAGTCAAATCACCCATTGTGATGAATGGAGCCTGTCTAGCATAGGAAATGCAGCGCTGTCAGCTGTTTCTGCATGAGTATGCTCACCACTTGTTTGAAATAACCCTTATTTTACAGCATAAAATATTAAATGCAAGATTTCCATATAGCAAAAGTAAGCATTAGAAGTTGTTCATACTTATAGTAATACTGTCATTGAGTTTAAAGCTGCAGAGCACTTGGTCAATATTTCGGGCATGGTAGAAACCGTTTCCTCGTACCACCACCTGGAAGGACTCTGTAATGAGAGAGCAAAATAATGTTTAAATAGGTGGATATACCTAATTAGCATGTTAAAGTATATCCATGGCCAGTCCCCAGCACTGGAAGAGGTGTCATAGAGTATCACATGACTGTGAATTTTAGTAATTATAGGTTTTACAAGCATTTAAAGCAATATTAGCTAGATGCAAAGGTGGGATGGAAAATTGGATTATTTAACCCCAAAAGCATTTTCTTTTTCTTTTAGGGTTTTTTCTGTCCTGTAAATAAGGACTTTAGGAATTACCACCTTCTGGATTTAAGCAGTCCCAGACATCGCATATCAGCCTTGCTTTCTGCTATGACCAGACATGGTGTAGCCAATAAACTCAGACTCATTCATACTGTTTAAAACAAAATCTCATACAACCAGCAAAACTTTATGTATAACTTAATAAAGCAATGTAAAGAGTAATGGTGATGTGCAAAAGTATACTAACTCACAGCAGCTAGTTCTCAGGAATTTAAGGGCTAGTTCACACCATAACAGCATGTGTCTGGGTGCAATTTTACCGCGTGTTTTCTTTTTAAAAGCTTCAAATGGCCTTTCATGTGCAATCTAGTCCATTCGTGTGCGTTTGCATGTGTCTTTGATGCATTCCGATGTGATCAACTAAAATGAGGTCAGCAGCATTTTTTCTGACTGCATTGGACCGGACTGCAATGGTGTGAATAGAGCACCAGAAATCCCATTGTGACATGCTTTGGATGCAGCTGCCAAACTGAACGGGCTGCATCACAACTGCATCTGGTGTGAACTAGCCCATATTGTATAGATTGCCAATATTAAAAGTTCAAGTAAATGTTTTCTGCAACCAACTATGCTGGACTTGTCTCCCATTCTTACTGACAAGAATACGGCAAGGCTATGTCTGCGTACAGGAGTTGTTAGCAAGCTCTAAAGAAAATAGCTTAGCTGGACTGTCATGGGAAGGACCTGCTGATGGTATGGACGTATCTGACTATGGGTCTTTGTGTTCTGCATGCCCTGATGCTGCAGTGGCCCCCAAGAGTGTGACCAACATGATTCGAGAGGTCTCCCGTTGAGAAAGTTTCCCTGACAGCATTGGAACTGTGGAAAGGGTGAGCCGCAAATTATAGCCTTGGATGACAGACCCCCCCCTATAACTGAAGTATATTCAAAAGGTGACCTTGCAAATTCTGAGGCTTAGATTTATCTGTTGGAAGGGACAGTCACATGTTGAGGTACCCAAACCCAAAACCGCTGCAGCCATGTCCAAGCTCTCAGTATTCCACACAAATCAGTGAGAAGTTGTGCATTAGATGATGGAAATTGGATACAAAGGATCACTTGTAATTGCAAATAGCAGTCTGAAATTCATTTCGTAAGTTTCCATTGATATTTAGCAGCCAGAAGGAGCTCACACCAGACTTTTTAACACATGTCAGAGTTGGCAAACTGGTAGTCCAGCCCTTTTATCACTGATGGAAATCCTAGAATATAGCCCTCTAGAAAGTGTTAGATGGGATGTGGGTGATGAAATTACTGTTTCACTTCGGGGAAACATGGATTTGTGTAAACTGGGATGAAGAAGCCTTCCTACACACCGGAATATGTATAGAGGAACTGTATTAACATGTGGAAGGCAGAATGTTCGGGGTCATGGCATGATAACATCATGCTACACCCAGCAATTAGCTCATTCACTTGGGGCCTGCTGAACTCCTGTGATTTTTTGGTTTTCTATCTACATACTAAGAGACATGGAATCTGTGTAAAAAAAGCTTCAGCTATTAGGACTCATTCACACTCCTTAAAGCAAGGAGTAGAGCAGGGATCTCAAACTCAATTAACTCAGGGGACACTGGATACTTTTTCTTCTCCCGCGGAGGCCTGACTGACCCCAGTGCAGGCACTGCTTTTCTGCCATGATAGTTCAGTGTGGCCAGCCTGGCAGAGCAGCGGAGGAAGCGGTACCCAGTGACGTCCCATTTAGCCCAACACCCAGGGCCGGATTTACTCTTTCTGCTTCCCCAAGGCCAGGATACATACACGCACACACTAATGCAGAATAAGACACCCCCCCCCCCCCCCCCCC